AGGTGATAGTTATAGTTACACTTTAACCTGACATGAATGTGTGAAGGCAGATATTCCTCTCTCACTGAGGAAAAAATATTTTTAGCTCAATTTTTGTAAATGTTCATTTTAATAACCTTACAATATTCCTCTGCTAAGTATGCTGTTCAAATAAAATTATTCATTTAAATAATGCTTGTAGTAACAAGATAACTATTCATATAACCATTATTTACAGGTAGTTCAAACTTCCACAACATATCTCACAAACCTCTCAATACAGAAAAACATTCTTAAAGTTCTTGACTCAATTATACCACAAACTTACTTGGTATCTTTACAATCAGAGTAAGCATTTGTTTTGCTCATTTCAGTATCATCTACTTCAAAGGCATACCCATTCTTTATTAGTTCTTGACCAAGATTGATTCCATTAACAAAACAGTTGATCAGCAGGCAACATACAGTTTTAATTCCTGGTGGTGATGGGTGTAGTCGAGCATAAACTATATGGCCTTCAGTCAACTTTCTCAGAAATTGTAAGCCCTTTATATACGAATACATAAATTAAAAAGCATAAATTATTTGGGAAAAAGAACCAAAAAGCTAGTAAAACATCAGTAGTTGGTTGAACTTCACGCATTTCAGTCTAGAATGAACTTTAGAAATTGTACACCTCACGTAACTTTTAGAAGTTTGAATGCACTTTGAAAAACGTCCCAGTTTCTGAGAGTATCATTTTATCACAACATGAAAAAACTAATGAAATTATTACACTCATGCATTTTGCTCTATTTATGAAATCCACAGATAGATTACAGTGGTATGCTGCAAAACAGTAAACCCTTAGGTTTATTAAGTCTCCAACTGATAAAATTTTAAAGTTCTAGCCATACTTTTAAAACAGCACACACTTGTAACTCATTTATTTCTGTATAACAAGAAACATATATATATTTTAGTTCAAAAGTAAAATTTTAAAACATATCCTTTAAAAGAATAACAGCATTATATATTTCACCAAATTTGAATGGAATATTTTCAAATGACTACCCTCTACAGGATGGCCACATTAATTTAAAATAATACAAAAAACTTCACCATGAGTTTTCAGGCAAAATTTCATATTTTCCAGAACTGTACAAGTAAGTGCATGACACACTTAATTTCAACATTTTTTCATAATTCTACCTAATTAATACAATTTTTATACCTTACAATCTTATTATAAAGTATAATAAAAACTTCAGAACTTACTTCAAGTTACAATACTCTAAATAAAAACCTTCAAATGAAGGAGTTAAGGATTGGTGATAGACAGTAAAATGATACATCTAACCTATGATCAAATTTAATAAACCTGATAACAAGTGATTTACCAAAAATATGTAAAATATTTTACAAATTGGCATAACTAAGCAGCATGATGGTTCTGAGCTACAAGTAAAACAGAAGCTTACAATTTTTCCTCAGTTTTCCAGGTTTTGGAATCATTTTTGATTCCCTAACTTTGTGACCCTAAATTTTCCAAGTTCCCTGACTTTCCCAGGTTTTTGGCAACCCTGTTTTAGGACTGTAACAACAGCCAAAGATGGGTGTAATTTAAATGCACTTACATAATTACATGTTAAAAACCTACTGAACAAAACAATGAGGTGATTAGCTTTATCCTTCTCAGAAGAACAATTTAGGTATACTTTCTATGGTCCTACCTTATCACATTCCCATTTCTTCTCATGTATCTAAGATAATATTTGAAAATTGTTGATGTTCTTCAAAATGATCTAACTTTGTTTGAAGCATTCTGTGACAAATCTGTTGTTGCATATAAGCATCACACCTGGCTGCATAACATTAGTTAGATCAAATATTCAGCAACCTGATACCAACTCTACTTTCCTCAATTCTTTATTCTGCAATCATACCCACTGCATTACTTTCCACTACACCGACAACAGAATTTCTGTATAGGGTCCCAAGGGCAACCTTTACTATAAAGCAGGCTTTCACTTGCATGTCCAAACAAGTTGTTTCATCTGTGGCTTATGGAGCATACTCTATGTAGGAAAAACTGGTCATCTGGTGAGTGAACATTTTTGTAAGCATGACCATTATGTCTTAAATGGCAGGCCAGAGAAGCGTGTATCTTGGCATTATAAACAAATATACAAGGATTTCTCAAATCTAGTTATTTTAACACATACTAACAAAGTTCATAAGAAATTTTTACACAAAGAAGGAAAAACACACAACTTATTTTTGATCTTGGGACACTTGCTCCCAATGGGATTATTGACAATTTTCTTTCATTTAAATTTCACATTTTTTCTCAGTTTGTATTTTCAACGCACATTTCAAATTTAGGATTTTCTCTTTCTGAAATTGCCTATTAGGATGATTAAACTGTTATTATTATTAATTTATTTTTAAATTGCACTATTTGATCTTTTTAATTTCTTCACTGTTTATAATACTTAATTCTCATAATGTCTTGTATTAGGTCTTAGCTTTTTTCTTGTAATTGCAAAAAAATTATTTTATCATTTCCTTTCACAGTTTGATATGCTACTTTAGTATTTTTCTTATACAAATTTTTTAATGATTGACTTTAATCTTAAAATTATTAGTTTTAACATTATTTTAAGTTTTCTTTCCTAACATTTTGTTCACAAGGGGTCACTTAAAATATCTTTATTGTTTCATTCATCAGTATACATGAGTATACTACTAGTATTGTTGGTCATTCAACATATGTTTTAACTTATATTAATATATATAAAAATCTTATAATAATACCAGAACTTGAACAATCAAAAATCCTGATGAAGACAGTAAGCCTAAAAAAATTTTGAACATTAGAAATCCTAAAATTTTAATGCTTCTGTTATTTTATTATTTGCCATGCCAAATATTATCTACAAAACTTAATGCTCATATGACACACACAGCATAATATTCTAAGTGTGAATGACAGACATAATTTACAGTCAGCTTAAAAGGTATCAATAAGCCGATTCTATGAACCAAAAATAAGAAATGTCACTTTCATAAATTTCATCACAAAGAAACATATTTTTCCAGGCATAGTAGTTATGGAATTACTTAACTGCTAGCTTAAATTTGTGCTTATAAAATAAAACTAGCAAGTAATCACCTTAATTAATAACTCATATTGTGTTTAAATTTCAAGTTATGAAGACATAAATGGCATAACTATGTAAAAGGTAGCATCTAATCAAAAACAATAAGTTTTCAAATACCTATTTCACATACGTAAATATTCTCGATGGTTAGATAAATTCAAACACACAATTTACTCAACAGAAGCTGGAAATTTAAAAAAAAAAAAATCTCTCACACATAACTGATTTTACCAGAGATGGTAGACAAATTTCACTAAACAAAATGTCACCTATAAAATATAAGGATTTAACTGATATCATATTACGAAGATATTCTAAAAACATTATTACATTTTTTTGGAGAGCACATACCTACAAAGAAATATTCCCAATATTATACTATTACACCAATTTACCTTCTGAAACTGTTGATTTTCAATGTCCTTCATAGGTCCTCTCAATCCTTTAAACTGACATTTAAAAGCTAAGGGTGGCACAGAAGCTAAATTGTCAGGCAGTTCTACAATTCTTTTGTTACTGATAACTTCTCTGTTTCCAAAGTCAATATATTGGACGGTGCACTGATATAAATAAAATAAGTCATTCTCAGAACAGTTGCTCTTATGTAAGATGGAGAACTTATCTTACAGAAAGAAACACCTCTCAGTTAAAACCTATTAACTCATTCCATATAGTTTTGGTCAATATGACAGACCTTGTAACCAAAAAGTTTCCATAACTTTTAATAAATTTTGTGTATCTTCGCAAAATCTGGCAAGCTTTCAGTAAACATTGCAACTCTTTTGTACACCAAAAATCAAGTTGTTTAATTAAGTATTTTTAATAAAGATTTGTCCTTGAATATATTTAGTCAGAGTGTTGACTGCTTTGAGTGCAAAGGGATTTTCATGTTAAGATTATAAATACTTTCCTTCATCTGTAAATGTTCATTTTTCATTTGCATAACTTCTGAAACATCCTAAATAACTATCAAACCTTTTTTTTTTCATTAAAACTTTATATTTTATCTTTTATTATTTTAACCTAACTCCATTTAGACTTAGAGTTTGACTGACCTTGTATCCATCATAAAAAGATAAGAAACAAATCTAAATTACCCTTTTTTCTTTTTAGAATGATTGCAAATCGTAACAGGAAACTATAATTGTTTAACCTAAATAGCTTGATGCATAAAATAACAAAAAATATGGTATTTATCTTTGACCTGTTGTTTTTTGTTGTTGGTTGCCAATGAAATTTAAGCCTACTTTTTTATACTAAAGGTATTAGCACACTAAATTTTTAGTTACTTAAATAATGTATCTAAGAACACAGAATAATAACACACGCAAAACAAATAATGCCCTAGAACTATCATAATTTAAATGGTTTTCTAACAATGGCATAAGAGGCTTAAAATAATTCCCAAAAACTTCTCAATCTGAAAAATCATGAGAGGAACTTTCAAACTAAAGAAAAAATAGATAATACTCTGTACTGAAAACAGTGTAATATATCATTTGATAGATTAAAACTTTGCCTTTCTATTGATTATAAATAATATAGTATTAAACATCAGACAAAACTATTGGCAATTTGTGAAAGAGAAGATGTGACAGGTGGGCATGAAAAGTGGGTCTGATTTTCTACTTTATGACTCCATAAACAAATAAGATTGAAGGCTATAAAAATTCAACTTTGCCTTAGTAATTCCTATTTTATAATGAGTACTTTATGATAAATTCCATACTTCAGAGAGGGGTGGTAAATAAATTAGAGAAGGGAGAATACCTACAGAACAGATGTCACAATTCTCATACTAAGGAAGGTTGAGGGTTTTTTCAATATGTCCTTATCAAATTAAAAACTTAAAACTTATATGATATTAAAGTTTTATTTATTGACTACATATTAATTCCAAGTTTATTTACAAACATTGATAATAAAGTAGCTTAATTAAATTCTGAATATAACTTTCTAAAAGGTTGTGACATATGCACATTCACCTACCCATAGAGAGAACATTAAACTCCTGAATTTTTGTACACAACAGACATGTAATGTTTAGTAAAAGTTTGCCAAATTTTGTGAAGATATACTTAGAGAGTTCAAACAACAATTGCTTTTAAAAAATATTTACTATCACAAAAAATGGAATTAGTACCCATGTATTTCCACTTTACTTAGATACTGCAAGGATGATCAAGCTTAAACTTGGGAATAAAACAGAATTGTTCTCTATCACCTAAATAGAAAAACTAAAATTAATAAAGATAAGTAGTAGACTTCCATTGGTTAGAGTAAACCTGTCGAAAATAACATAAATGTCAAATGGTCAAATTGTTAAGAGCTGTTGGCAAGAAAACTTCAGCCCAATCTCTAAGTTATCTAATGCCATGCTAATTATATCTACAACTTCAGGATATCACATCTTATATGAGATCATCATATACAGCATTGGAAAGGTAAAGTGATAAACTATCATATTAAATCACATAGTTGTGATACTGTTATGCACAACAATACATATTATTGGAGAGTCTAATGAAGTCATTAAAATATCAGGTAATTAAGATCATTAAAATTCATAAGAGAATGATTTAAATTCTCAAACATAATAGTTTCAGCTTTAGAGAAAGAAATGAACAAGTGTGGTAAAAATCCTTTTAAATCTTTATGTAATATAAAGAATTAAAAAAAACAATTATGGTTTGGTTCAGACTTTTAAAAATATTATCTGAAGTTTTTTAATTTTAGTAAATTACTAAACTAATAATCAGGAATAACCAATGAAATCAATCAGACTATTTAAATTCTCCTCTATCTAGTTCTTAAGATTCAAAATCAATATTTGTAGCACGTTGCACTATTGCTAGTTCTAGAAAGATATTAAATATTTTGATTTTGTTACGAGACAATTTTATTCTTACCTGACCAGGAATATTGTTTTTCATTATCTCACATCGATACCAAAGTTGATCTTCACTAAACTGAGCTCCATAAACCTAGAATAAAAGGAAAATATACATTAAAAGTGTTTGCTTTGAATAATTGTATTGAGCAAACAGCTTCATGGGCAACAGTGATGTGAAAAATTGTGAGGTTTAAATGCTGTTAAAAATCTTCCTGAATGTTTGTATTGGGTCAGTAAAGAATGGTTAGATTATTTACAATAATTATATTAACTTCATTTTCAATTTAACTATCTTCAACCAATGCACCTCTGGTTGCTAACAAAAAACTGTTTGATTAAATAATGTTGAGAGAAATTGAGAAGTAATGATACCATAAATATCATAACTGCTAATTTTAGCAGTATAAGCATTACAAATGGTCATAAAAACTTGTTCCTGAGATTGTGAACATAAGATTTTTTGAGCTCATAAGAATGTGTGCTGGTTATAAGACTGTTTTGAATTATCAGAGAGTGCAACTGCATTCTCTGTGTAGGGATGGCATGAACACCCGTTTGAAAGCAATACGGATTTTTTTCTACACAGGTCATCAGAAGCTAGATATGAAGAGCTACATGGCATAGTTGTTCTATCTCTGGTATATATGCTGCTTTTCAGCTATCCCAAAAAAACTGACAAAATAAATAGAACCAGAATTTCCAGTTGTAAGTTGTTACTCTATTGTAAAATAGTCATAAAAGTACTATTCTAAAATTAACTAAAGAAAAGGTATAATGATGAAAGCAAACTGATCATTTATATATATTATCCATATATATATATTATCATGTACAACAGTTTCCAAAATCTAAGGGTATTTAAAGATAAGTCAGTTGAAGATCAAAAGCAACTAGCTCTTTTACCACCATACATGGTCAGACATAGAATCATACCTTTCTCTCAGCTCAGTCCTCTTCGGCTCCCAAGCTCTGTAGCAATGCTATGGCTGCTACAGCAATATGTACCCCACTGATAAAAACTGACTTAAATCATTTCAACCATCACCTATTACAATAAGTTTTTAGGATATAAATTTTCACTAGCCATAACATGCTCCACAATTAATAAATAGTTTTACCCATCATCAATTTTTATAGTCAAGACAATAAAAACCCTATAACCTGAGTGCTTTCGAAAAGGTGGATGTTTCTTCTTCAGGGGCAAACTGTGTTATAAGCATGAAGCTGAATGATAAGTGTATAGCAAGATTGTAAGGGGAAAGGTACATTTTTACATTTTTTACAAGGGATCATATCTCACTGAGAAAAATGCTTGTACTAACTTTTCAAAATAGTTTTCACAAAAGGACAAAGTAAACCTGAAGTTGATTAACTAAAATATTATTTTTAAAGTTCCTTTTAAACACCATCCAATAAAAGTTCAAAAAAAAAAGGAAAACAGTTTTAGTTTTGAGATATAATAAATAGAATATCAAAAGCTTATTTACAGGCCCACCAAGTTGACTAGGAGATTTCCCAGGATCTTTGAGAAGGGAAAAAAGAAACAGATTGAGAGAAATTGAACTCATATTTCAATACTTCTTCACAGCCCTGCTTATGTAGTCTTACTGTACACAGAGCTTAAATCAAATTCACCAAACAGAGAAAGTGCTGATTTCAACAAGTTTTTATGCACAACATATAAACATACTGTGAAAAAATGGGTAAAACAATAACTCAAATCAGGGTTGACATGCTGATGAACAATAAAGATTGAACACTAAATACTTTAATGTGTCTAATCGCGCAATTCAACATTATTGTGCAGTGTTTGTCAGTGATAACCGGCTTTAGGATAATGCACATAACAGAGGCTTCATTCTTATTAACAAGTTATAATGGTGGCAGTGAACTATTGGCCATACACTATTAACATAATAAGCAATTCACTGATACAATGTTTCTTAGAACAAAACACTTATCAACAGTTAGAGAATATATATTACTAAATATACATTTGCATGAAATTGAAGATTTTTCTACTAATTTATTTTCTTTATTAAGAAAATATCAAGGAAGTAATTTTACTCCCACTTCAAATGTTTGTTTCCCAGTTGGCCCACCACTACAGTTTGTGTATTTCATTCTATAATACATATCAAGTTATTATTGAATATTTTCCCGAAATCCTAAGTCACATAATGTATGATAAAATATGAGTGGAAGCATCAATTTATCTACTGTCAATAACAAAACTTATCTTAGCTCTTAAGTATAAATAACTTACCTTAAACATTTCAGGGGTACCTTGAACACTGACTGTTTGGGAGCACACCTTTGAAAGTTGTTTTGAAATATCTGACAGTTGAGGGTTTAAATCCACTCTCTGAGCATAAAAAACTGTGGGATCTTCTATATGAACTACTATCAAAGCATCATCCGAAGTTCCAAGAACCTAGCAATGTGACCAGATATATAGGAGGGGGACTGTCTAGGCAGAACAATAATTAACATACACATTCTCTAATAGAAAACTAATTCATAAAATTACTTTTTATCACATGAAAAAACTATTTCATGATGATATGAAAATAATTATACCTACAGTATCAAGACTTCTTCAACCTTCATGTTTTTCTGACATTACGAATGTACCACCATGTAAGGAACATGAACCCAATTCAGGTAAGTATCCTCTTTCATTTGGAATATTAAAATATTCTTATTAAAGTTCTTTATTATAAAGCAATCCTTTTCTTTTAGAATTGTTTGTTTGTTTGTTTG